GTTGTATATCTATGCTATGAACTATCATACTTATGTTTATATTATTTTTAAGATATGGCATTTCAGATTGAAATTTTACATATTTATTAGCAAACTAAAATTGTCTAACCATTAGTTATACAGTCCTACCATACTTTTATTTACATTCTTTAAAACTATGATACTATATATAAGTATTTGTAAAAAAATATATATAATTACCAATTGAGAAAATTACCCCCTACACATTACATTTCAAAATTTATTACACAATTAAACATCCTATGTAAATAATAGCAATATAACTGTAAATTAAGGTCTTATTTGCAGTTATACCACAAAACTTATCCATCAGTTAAGAAATAATTTATTAATTCATTAATTAAAGAAACCTACCAGTTACCAAAAATCACCCCCGAGGTATATGGTAAGAGATTTCTCTTTCACCTCATTAACCGCCCATAAAATCGGAGATCAAGTTCTCATATGGTATCCAAGTTATTGTTCATGGAAGTTTTTTTCTTTTCTTTTTTTAACAAGACATGGTGGGTGTCCAAGTTATTGTTCATGGAAGTTTTTTTATTTCTTATTTTTTTTTTTCAACCAGACATGGTGGCTACCAGACATGTTTCAAACATCTGACTAGCCTTCGTGCGATCTTCGTGCGGGAAGCTTGTTCGTCTATGGCGGCGGCGAAACTATGAGCCAATTTTTCAATCCATGCGGTTGCTTTTTTAAAAGAAAACGATGGACTCCGGCGACTGTCGTCCACCCCCCTTGGAGATAGAGATGACGAAGGCAGGGCATGAAGCTCGGGCTCGTGGAGATGTCTGCAATATATGTTGCGGTATAGGCATTGTATGTTGAGTATATAGACAATATATTTTTAGTTTATAGACATTTTATGTTTTGTATATTACAAGTTTTTACGGATACATCCGATATGATTTGTTTCAATGTTTATTTGATGTTTATTCGTAATTTATTGATCACGATGTTCTTAACGTTTATCCATACTAGTCTGAATATTTAATTCTTTATAGTTTCTTTTGATGTTTTAATATTTAATTCTTTATAGTATGCATTTCTTTTGATTTTTTTGCAATAAGTAACTGGTTATAATATGTTTATAAACTATATATATGCTTTTATGTATAAAAAAAATAAAAAAATGAAAAAGNATTGTTTATAAAACATAAAAGTAAAAATATTCAAAAACTGATTTAAAACAAGGATAAATTGAATTTTTGTTGTTGTGTATATCTATGGTTTATATACATAGTTACGGGTTATAAAAAAAGAACTGCATTTTAGGTTGAGCAAAAAAATAAATTTGTAATCTAGTATGTATACAGAACATATACGGTTAATATACAGAAAATAATCGATATACTGTACAAAATAATTCACAAAATAAACATCGTTTGAATTTCAGATTCAGTATCTTCCTATTTTATATTGAACCAGCATCCTAATTTGTATGGTATAAACCATAGTTTTTCAACCCAGACCGGCCCGACGAGTCAACCGGGGACCCAGTCGACCCGGAACCGGAACCGGTCCGGGTAGACTATTTGGACCGGGCAACAAAGGACCGGTCAAAACCCGGCCAACCCGGCCATGACCCGGTCGACCCGGGGTATTGACCCGGGTTGACCCGGCCCCTATATATATATATATATCCTTATATATATATATTTATTATTTATTTATTTTTTGTTTTTAAAAAATAAAACTATGTATATTTATTTATATGGTAAATATTATCATGAGATACATATTATTACTTTCAATGTACAAATTTCATATACAAAATATTTAATTTTGTTACTTTTATATATATTTATATGACAAAGTACTCTATATATAATATTAAAAATTTTAAAATTAATTATCCGGTTTAGCAATTGACCCAGTGACCCGGCGGTTGAACAGATGACCCAGTGACCCTGAGACCTTCCCAGGTCGACTCCTGTGCCGGGTTTAAAACTTATGGTATCCGTTTATATTTCTTTTTATAATTTAAACTAGTGCGTGGCCCGTGCGATGCACGGACCAACAACATTACGATTGTATTATAAATTAAATATATAAGAAACATTAACCATGATTTACCTATTATTTTCAAATTAAACCAGGTTGGACACAGTCCGACTGGATACACCGGGAACCGGTTTATAACCAGTCTAGTTAGCTTGAATAAAATATTTGCTATCGAATCCTTCAACACCGATCGATTGGACTGGTAGGATCGATACGATTTTCTAAATAGATTTTGCTACATTTAAAATTATTTTAAATAAAATTACATATTAAAATAAAATAGAGATTTATAAACTTTTTATCAATTAGTTTAAACATTTGAATTTATAAATTGTTTAGATATTTAAGTAATTATAAAATATTAAAATGTATATAAATTAAAATCTAAACAAACCACAAATGATATAATAAAATAACTTTGATTGCCTTCCTTGGCGGCGGCACGGCGTCGGCCGGTGGTCGTCTTTGACCGCCGGCCCCCTCAGCTGAACCTGATGTTGCCGTAGTGCTCCGGCGCTAGTAGGGATGTCCTGCCCTAGGCCAACAGTGATTTTGCGGTTAGAGGGGGCGAGCCTCTAGATCGGAGATCGGGCGGAAATCGGTGGCGTTGATTGTAGGCTAGTCTCGATTGGAGGTAAGTTTTCCTTTATGCTGCGTTTGGCAGTGAATTTTGGGGTTCCCCTCGGCGGTTCGCTTTTCTGGTGGGGCTCCTTTTGGGGCTTTTCCGGTGGGGCTCTGTTTTGGGGCTTCTCGACTTGGTGCAGGTGGATTGCGGTAAGGTCGACTGGCTATGGGTCAACAGGGGGGCGGGACTCTGGCGTTGGGTAGGATGTGGTCTCACCGACGTCAGGGTTTGAGGGACCGCTCCTGGACACCATCACCATCCTCCGTGCGGCTAGTGGTGTTAGGCGGCGGGGGTCCGTTTCACTCGAGTGCAGCTAGTGGTGTTAGATGTACTTAGGGGGAACTTGTGTGGGGGTTGGCTTGGTTGTGGTTTCCTTCGGTTTAACGGTGGGTCGATTCGGGGACTGTTCTGGGATTTGGGTTCACCTACTGCTAGGCGTTCGTGCAGTTTCAGTAGCGGGACTTGGGCTCGGGATCTTTCTCCTGATGGGAGGGTTCTCTTTTTTTATTAGTCGTTTTGTAGTAGGGTTCGTTTGTGTTTTGTGGTGGTTGATTTTCTCGCGTTGCGAGCAGATATTCGGTCTAGGTTGCATTGGTGCTTTTGTAACCTCCCAGTTATCCAGGATTCGGGCTTTGCTCGTGTACATTGCCAGTTGGCGTTTTTAATGAGAATTTTATGTCGTTGGAAAAAAAAAAAAATTAACTTTGATTGTTTTGATGAGGATCCGATTCAAAAAACCTTATATTTACTGTATATTAATAAAATTGTAATAAAATATTATTTTATTTACATAAAAATTAATAAAATGATATATAAGTATCTATAAAATATTATTCTATGTCAACTGACATCAAGTCACCCTGATCAATTTTAAATCCAGGTAGGGATCCTTTACTTGACTTCACGAAAGAAAGAAATGTGACGATAGTATTTATAATCAGACATGGCCACGGGTTGCTTGGCCCGCCGACCCAGCACGGACTCAACCCGTCAATCCCGTTGACAACGGATCCTGACCCAATTCAGATTTTAACTGGGCCAGTCCAGGGTCTTGTTTTTTGGACCCTGGCTCAGTAAAAACCACATATTTTGTTGGCTTTTTTTATTTTTTATATATTTTTTTTCTGGACTGGTCTTGGTATGCAGTTGCTCAATGTAAAAGAAGTTTATGACTTTTATATGCGATACACGTATGCCACGGGTTTTCCTATGAGAAAAAAAAGTTTGGGGAGTGTGTAGTCATGAAGGACGAAAAAATAGTTTTACAGGAACTTTCATAAAATCGCAACCCATAAGTAATATACAGGGTGTAAAGCTATAATATCCGCATGATTGGATACACATTGTCACTGAAAAATTCATAAGGTCCATCTTAACCACAATCACAAGAACAATCCCACTAAGTCGAGGTTGTATCGATGTTATCACGTTTTAAGTTCACATGTCAAACGGAAAGTTGAAGTGAATGGCATAACATGAATACCATTACATAAAAGTTTTAACTCTATAGTTCACTACAAAAAAATATTATATTCCAACGGGAAACCCTACGATAATATATTCCAACGAATATTCCAACGAATATTCCAATGGTATAGCTTCCGTTGAAATGAATTTTCCATTGGAATTTTAGATGGAATTTGATGATTCCAACGGCTATTTTTCCAACGGTTTTTTACCATAGGAATTTCTGTTGGAATTTTTATTTCCACCTCCGTTGGAAAATCTACCGTTGGAAACTTCAAAATCCAATGAAAATTTGAATGGAAAATTCATTCCAACGGAATATTTTTGTTGGAATTTCTGTTGGAATTCTATTTAAATATATTTGTATTGGAACTTTCCGTTGGAATTTCATCATTTTGTTGTAGTGGTTGTTGAAGCTGGCGGCTATGAGAATATAACTCTATATAGGTTCAAGAACATGTAATCAAACAATTGTCACTCGCGAATCAACTAATGGAGCTCTCAATCAATAACAAAATCACATAATCCCTAGCCTACAAGGATGAATGCATAATCTATTCACGAAAGCTCCTATCTTTATCATAGAAAAATCTAATAAGTAAAGACAATAAAAACTTATGAGATCTTGGACATTAAATGAAGTCTCCAAATCTCTAGTGTATCCACGAGAAGAAATAAGTCGAGTCAGTCTAATTTAGGTGGTCAATCTAAATAAGACTCTACACATCATGATTAATTATTCAAAATAACACAAACAATTCTAAAAAGATATTGAAATTATCAACCATATAAATTAATCAAAACATCGTAAATCGTAGGGTTCGATTTCCCCGATGAAAAATTAAAATACCCATCACATAAAAGTTTACAAGTTACAAAAATGAGAAAGTTAATTAATTATTTATCGATATTGAAAATGAGTTGTACAAGTAATAAAAATATATCATTAACATATAAAATAAATAAATAAATTACTTAAGTAAAATTTTATTTATTCATTTATATTGTAGACTCTTGAATCGCTCGAGTATGTGTGCTAGGTTAATTTAAGATGACACCTAATATTTACATGTATTTATACTATATGTGGCGGCATTACAAAGGTAAAAAGAAAAAATTGCCGTTATTAATAAAATTTGAGAGACAATTGAAGACAAACCCCATCTTAGTAAAATAGAAAGCAAAATATATGAGTATAGCATATAGAGTCACAAATACTGCTATTACACGGCGAGATTTCATTCTTTAAGTATCATATTTTTCTTAACAGAAGTGTGTGCTTAATTATATTGCTGAGATTTCATTCTTTAAGTATATTAATTAACGATTAGGTCTGCATAACAGCGCATCGTATACAGTTTCTCTAGATTTAACTTGGAATGGTGCTGCAGTCTCGCTCATCCCATCCAACCAGCTGCCTGTCGTTATCGTAAATCACTAATTTATCTTGAAATGAAATGTCTGCACATGAAATATTTTCAAAAATATGGACTTAGTNTAATTGTAATTAACTAATTAAAAACAATTGATGATAAAAGATTTGTATCTGAATAATTAACTAAATCTACCTCCAATCACATTGAGGTCGCCTAATCCAACTTCACTACCGTCCAATATGCCTAAGCACACATTGGCAAGATCCTGAACCAAACAGTAAATACAAAAATTAAAAAGCTTTTACACACATTAAGGCCGCAAACGAGACTCAAGTCAACGCTCGATTCAAGCTCGAGCCCATAGTTATCGAGCATACCTCGTTTGAGGCCAATGTTCGACTCTGCTCGGCTCAGCTACACAAAAAAGGAAAAAAAAAAAAATAGAAAAAGAAAAATAGGACTTACTGAGATAATAAGATAAGATTCGATGCCCATGGCGAACTGAAGATTGGTGCTGAAGTTCAAAGCCAGAGTACTGAAGTATGAGCTGACATCGGAAACTGATGTGAACGGCCCTTTCCAACAGAACGGCAAATTTGGATCCGTGGCCTTATCCAATGGCGACGATTGTCGGTTGTTGTATCCCTCTATCTACTCGTCAAAAAATAAAAAATAAAATCAAAATAATCACAAGAAATATATGGTTAATTATTATAAAAAGAAAAAGTAGCTTCAAATGTGTGACCTAATTAGTTAGAAAAATGTGCACTGAAATAGGATATCGCAATCTTAGGCAACCGATGCACATGGCACGCATGATACATATATGCAACGAAAACCGCACTAATAGCTACAAATAGGGTTGCAAAGGAGTCTAGCGGTTCGTGCACTCGAGTCAATGCTATACTTAAGTTCAGTCAAACTCGAGCTCGAGCAAATAAGTCGAGCCTCGAGTATCATTTCAAGTGGCGCTTGCCTTTTTATTTACACAAGTACCCCCATATAGTTTAATTATCAGTGTTAGAACACAAAGGTTAAAATTGTCTATTTAGATTAAAAATAGTATTTTTATAAATTATTAAAATTTCGAGCCGAACTCGAGCCATGTCAAGTATCGAGTTGAGCACGAGCATTCTTATTTTTTTTTACAAGTCCAGTCGGACACCATTTTTCATAGTGATAATATTAGCAAATAGTCTTCTCATTTTGCACAAGATGAAATATAGTTATATTTTTTAAGTATGAATAGCTGTTTTGCCCTCTCAAATGGACTATATAACATCTCTACACTTTTGCACTCAAAATCATTTATAGAGTTCATAAATGATTTCTAGTATTTCAGAAATGATTTCTACTTTTCTAGTGCTTTCTAGAACATTTAAATAATATGTTGAATTATATAATTAACTTTGAGATCCCAAAAATAATTTCTATAACACAAACAATATTCAAAATTCTACAATTGATTTCTGAAATTCTAAAAACACTCTATGGGTGTCAGAAATTATACATTATTTATTATTGAAAATTCTGGAATAAGGATAATTGTGTTGTCACGCATAACCAAATGGCTATTAAAAATGTAGTCATTTCATCTTTGCATTTCTTACATGGCTATAAAACTAAGGCATTGTTTTACATGCTCGTCTAGCTCGAGCAAGCAGTGAAGAAAAAAATTCGATTTGCGCTCAACAAAGTCCATACTGCTCGACTCGATTTGACTTGTTTGCATCCTTAACTACGAAAGGTGCAAATTAAATACATCTAGCTAGTTTAGTTAGAAACTCACCAAATCATAAATTGCGTCGTAAGCTAGATTGTTGAGGTAAGTGTAGGTGCTTCCGCTATCGAAAACTATGTCAAGGCCCCTAATATCCGTAACTTCACCTCCTAACATCAAGTCTGCCTTTCCCAAATAGTAGTAGTCTCTGGATAATTTTACAAAACAGAGTTCGTAAAATGTATTAAAATTCATAGCAAAATCGAGTACCTTTGAAGTATAGCCATCCCATATAAATGGAGCCATACAAAACTCAAGGATATATATATTCATGTTGGCAAGGCCAACTTCGAAACGAAATATTTTCAAACCCTCTATTCTTTAAGCCTGCGTAAAGCGCCTAACGAGACTTACGAGTTGGTGGTCGGAAATAGCGTTGTCCAGTTGAAGTCCTCGTACTTCGCCAAGTCTCCAAGTCCAAGGGAAAGGTAACCGTCACCTTTTGAACTAAAACAATGACCAATAGCGTTTTGTGTCAAACCCTGACGGCTTATCTGGGATACGAAGCTAAAGCTGACATTGCTCAGGCCGAGAACTCCATCCACATATTGCGGTTCATTTGGATTCGGAAGGTATTGATTGTGCCCACATCTGCAAAATATAGGTAAGAATAAATAAAAAGATATACAGTTTACTTGTTTTCAGATTGGATTAGATTTATTGAATGTATTGAAATAAGATCTCAAAAAAAAGTTTGATTGAGTGGAAATTGGATTTGATTTTCAGTTCGTAATGATTAAACTCGATAAAAATAAAAAAAATGATTTATTGAAAAATTGAATTAAAATTTGAGAAAAGTTGACTAAGTGGAAATTGAATTTGATTTTCAAATTAAAGTTGACGTGATGTAAGTAAATAATGACTGTAAAACTGTAAATACTTGGTAGTTAAAAAGGTGTGAGTGAATGAATAGTGATTTTTTGTTGGAAATTGTGCATTAACTGATTGATATTATTTAACTATATTGACAATATTGAACAGGGCTAATATGTGTTGGATATAAAGATTGAATTTTAAGTTATTAGCGAAATGTGTATCAAATAGTAGTCCTATCCAAAAAAAATTGTATCGAATTTTTATAATAAGATCCTCACCCGAATGTGAGAGGTGGCGAAAGCTGGCCGTTGGCCAAGTTGAGGTTGACTGAGTCGTTGACGAGAAAACCCTGAGTCGACATGCCATCAGCATAATGAATATCGTACGCACAATACTTTCCTTCGTAAAAGCCAGGCGGCAAAAGGTTTTGAACGACACTGCACACGGGATCCGTGCGCAGAACGACCACATTCCGATCCTCCGGATTGTACGGAGGATTGGGCGCCTGAAAGAAAATAATAATAATAATAATAATAATAATAATAATAATAATAATAATAATAATAATAATAATTTACTGGATAGTTTCTGGCTCCTGGTTTGTCACACTGAATCCATGTAAGGCCACTGCCGGTGTCTATTTGGAGAATGTAAGGCCTTTGGTTGGGTCCGATTGTTATTGTCACGTTATAGAACCTATGTCAAGAAAATGTGATGGTATAAATGTTGGATGTATAATGTACAAGGCGAAATAATAATCGAGAAAAAAAAATGTAAGAGAAAATTATGTACGTACGGAAATGGGAAATAAGAGAAGAGAAATCAATAAGAGAAAAATCTCTCTCGAATACGTAATTTTTCTTATTCAAATTCAATTGCATAGAAAAACAAAAGAGAATGAATCCTTAAATAAGACTCCTGAAAGCCCTAGATTACTAGTTTGTCCAATAAGACGAAGATTCTAAGAAAGTAATAAAAAATAAATAAGTTTTCTAACAAATTTATAATACCCACTAATAGTCATAATAATAAAGGGAGAAATAAATAATTAAATTAAACAAAGATAAATAATTGTAGAAAAATAATATATATATATATATATATATATATATATTTGCTATGATTGATTGTATTTAGTGTTATTTTTAATCAGGATGTATTTTATTAAAAATAGTAACTTAGCATTTGTAAAAATGATAGCACCATGTAAGATTAAAAATAGCATCATACACAATTAAAAATAGCATCAAATATGGTTCCCACGGTTCTCACACCAGAAAAGGTTTTTATTTGAACCACTCCCTATATATATATATATTTTGTTCAAATGAGAACTAAGTCCTAGCGTGAGAACCGCTATTTTTAATTGTATGTAGTGCTATGATTGATTGTATTTTAGTACTATTTTTAATCAGGATGTATTTTATTAAAAATAGCAACACAATTTATGTTAGCATTTGTAAAAATGATAACGCCATGTGAGATTAAAAATAGCATCATACACAATTAAAAATAGCATTTGATATGGTATTCACGGTTCTCACACCAGGACTAGTTTTTATTTGAACCAACCCCTATATATATATATATATATAGGATGTGGTTCAAATGAGAACCGTGAAAACTGCTATTTTTAATTGTGCGTGGTGCTATGATTGATTGTGTTTGGTGCTATTTTTAACTAGGATGAATTTTATTAAAAATAGCCACATAATTTATATTAGCATTTATGAAAATGATAACATCATTTAATATTAAAAATAGCATCATACATAATTAAAAATAGTATCAAATACGGTTCTCACACCAAAACTAGTTCTATTTGAACTAGCCCCTAGATATTATACATATATATAAAGTTGTTTGACGCTAAACGGATGATAGTAGATTGAATTAGATGATAGAGCGAAATAATAATCAACAAAATAATGTAAGAGAAAATTAGTCTTAAAAGACAAATAATTGTAGAAAAATAGGAAACTATATATAAGTTGTTTGACACTAGTAAGTGATAGTAGATTGAATTTAGAGGTGGTCACGGGCCGAACCGGCCCGCGACCCGGACCGGAAACCGACACCGAAACCGGCACGTAACCGGTCCATAATCGGCCACTAAGGGTAGGTTCGTTTAACCGGACCGTGAGGACCGCGGTTCGGTCCCGGACTGTTCCATTTTTTTTTTTTGTCCCGGCGATTCGGGCCGGGCCGGAACTGGGTCACGGGCTGGAGACCGGGCTCAAGTGTTTTTTTAATTTTTATTTTATTTTTTTCCCTGCGGGCCATGCCGGGCCGGGTCGAAGAACCGGCCCTAAGCAATTGGCGGTTCGGTACCGGGTCAGGATGTTGAGGACCGGCGGCCCACCGGGCCGGGCCCGGATCCGTTGAAATGGCCATGTCTAATTGAATTAGCTCACAGATGACAACCGATTGAACTAAAAAATAATAAAATATCACCACCTGATTGAATTAAATAATAGTTATTTGATATGTAACTGTTGCAATCATTTATCCTGAAAAGTTCATCTAGAGTTTATCTAAATTGCTTGTTGGACACACACACATCAAAAAAAGGAACTATTTCTAACTATCCCTCACTATATTAACAAAAATATTGTAGGTTATGCTAGGTCAAATTTCTAATTTAATCCCAAAACGTTTATCACCAAATAGAGTAAAAAATAAAGTTGTAAACAAATTGTGCCGAGGTCGAACTCTTGATACATGAACTTTTATCCGTCCGAGCCGACTAAATAAGTTAATATATGAGTTCAGTCTCAACTCGTTTATCAAAATTAAGAAATTAATTAACCGACTTGAATCTTAAAGAGCCAAGTCAAGTATTAGTTCACAAAATTATTTACAAAAATTTATTTCTCGAGTCAACGAGCTCGTTAAGTGTATGACTTGCTAAACGAGATCGAGCTCTCCTGTTTAATCAAATAAGCCAACGAGCTCATGCTCGATTAATTTAAGAGCTCTATCAATAAAATGGATATATGAGATAATATGATATATAGAAATAGGAAAAAAAAAAAAAAAAAANGAAAAAAAAAAAAAAAAAAATGGCACACCCTCGAGGATAAACATTGCCATTGACGGGGAAAGTGAAATACAATGGATCATCAGCTGCAGCTACACATGTCACAAGGTACAACACCAATGCTTTCAGGTACAATCTGCTTTGATGCTGCATGTTCAGACTTATTCAGAGTAATGAAATTTTGTTGGATGTAAATGTGATATAGATTTACGAGGAAACAATAAATTAAGTTGGGGTTTGGATGTTATTTAGAGGAGCAAATGCATGCATCTATTTATACAAATACATGTCCAATAATTTTCAAATAGTCACATATTTTAGGATAAGGCTACAATCCCGTTACGAAATCATTCCGTTGAGATTGTAACCGTTAGATCAACTATCATTGATGGTTACTTGATGATTTAACGGTTACAAATTCCAACGGAATGATTCCGTAACGGAATTGTAGCATTTTTTTTCCATATTTTATATATTAAATTAAAGTAGCTCAGTTTGAAATTACAAACTTTTAATAGTCTTAAGCTTTGATTGTGCTAGCATAAAGTTTTTCTACGTTACAAACTTTTAATAGTCTTAAGCTTTGATTGTGCTAGCATAAAGTTTTTCTACGTCTTTTTCTGAGACATGATGATAGCTTGATTTCAACGTGTTTGCTTTTCTAATTAGCATGTCTATTTTATATTATTTTTTAAAGTATGTCATTGCCTGATAAGTATGCATATTTATAAAAACTAGTAAAGTGCACGTGTATCGCACGTGGTAGCGAATATTTTTTTTTAATTAAGTTCAGTAAAATAAATTAATTTATTTATTAAACATATCATTACGGAAACAAATTAAATGTAGAACACATGAGCTCCTAATGTATTTGTTTTTTAAAAAATAACATAACGATGTACTGTTATAAAGAGAATAAAATAACATATCATAACCTCAACAAAAATACATTAAAAATGAGTCCATAATTTATTTTTTTTACAAAAATACTAAATAACTAAATAAAGACATAATGTATAATATAAATGCATTAGTTCTTTTATTTAATTATGTTTGATGATTCAAGAGTGATTTTCTTTCATTTTAGTTTTGGAGACGTTCTCAGAAAAAAAATACACAAACCCATTCGAGTTCTATATATCAGTAGGCAAATTCGTCTTAATTCATTAGGCAAAAAGTCTACTTTATTCAAATAATGCTAAATATTTTGTCCAAACATATAGTCAAACCTTATGATTATGATCTTTATAAGGTATTGCTAATAACTGTTAATGAATATCTCTGTGAAATAATCAACCGTGTCATTAAAATTGCTGATTTTTTTTAAACTACTTCATTATTCTCTCTCCATATATACAAATTGATACCTCCCATATGAACGCATCGCCACACGGGGTGAGAATGAGTTTCGTTTCCAAATAAAAGTTGACCTTTCAAATTCAATTGCATAGAAAAACAAAAGAGAATGAATCCTTAAATAAGACTCCTGAAAGCCCTAGATTACTAGTTTGTCCAATAAGACGAAGATTCTAAGAAAGTAATAAAAAACAAATAAGTTTTCTAACAAATTTATAATACCCACTAATAGTCATAATAATAAAGGGAGAAATAAATAATTAAATTAAACAAAGATAAATAATTGTAGAAAAATAATATATATATATATATATATATATATATATTTTTTGTTCAAATGAGAACTAAGTCCTAGCGTGAGAACCGCTATTTTTAATTGTATGTAGTGCTATGATTTATTGTATTTTAGTGCTATTTTTAATCAGGATGTATTTTATTAAAAATAGCAACACAATTTATGTTAGCATTTATAAAAATGATAGCACCATGTGAGATTAAAAATAGTATCATACACAATTAAAAATAGCATCAAATATGGTTCTCACGGTTCTCACACCAGGACTAGTTTTTATTTGAACCAACCCCTATATATATATATATATAGATATATAGGATGTGGTTCAAATGAGAACCAAGTCTTAGTGTGAGAACCGCTATTTTTAATTGTTCGTGGTGTTATAATTGATTGTGTTTGGTATTATTTTTAACTAGGATGAATTTTATTGAAAATAGCAATATAATTTATATTAGCATTTATGAAAATGATAGCATAATTTAATATTAAAAATAGCATCATACATAATTAAAAATAACATCAAATATGGTTCTCACACCAAAATTAATTTTTATTTGAACTAGCCCCTAGATATTATATATATATATATATATATATATATATATATAAAGTTGTTTGACGTTAAACGGATGATAGTAGATTGAATTAGATGATAGAGCGAAATAATAATCAACAAAATAATGTAAGAGAAAATTAGTCTTAAAAGACAAAGAATTGTAGAAAAATAGAAAACTATATATAAGAAGTTGTTTGACACTGGTAAGTGATAGTAGATTGAATTAGCTCGCAGATGACAACAGATTGAACTAAAAAATAATAAAATATCACCGCCTGATTGAATTAAATAATAAAAAAGAACTGCATTTTAGGTTGAGCAAAAAAATAAATTTGTAATCTAGTATGTATACAGAACATATACGGTTAATATACAGAAAATAATCAATATACTGTACAAAATAATTCACAAAATAAACATCGTTTGAATTTCAAATTCAATATCTTCCTATTTTATATTGAACCAACATCTTAATTTGTATGGTATAAACTATAGTTTTTCAACTCAGACCGGCCCGACGAGTCAACTGGGGACCCGGTCGACCCAGAGCCGAAACCGGTCCGGGTAGACTATTTGGACCGGGCAACAAAGGACCGGTCAAAACCGGGCCAACCCGGCAATGACTCGGTCGACCCGGGGCATTGACCCGGATTGACCCGGCCCTATATATATTTATTTTTTAATTTATTTTTTGTTTTTAAAAAATAAAACTATGTATATTTATTTATATGGTAAATATTATCATGAAATATATATTATTACACTTTAATGTACAAATTTTATATACAAAACATTTAATTTTGTTACTTTTATATATATTTATATGACAAAGTACTCTATATATAATATTAAAAATTTTAAAATTAATTATCCTGTTCAACAATTGACCCAGTGACCCGGCGGTTGAACCGATGACCCAGTAACCCTGAGACTTTCCCGGGTCGACTCCTGTGCCGGGTTTAAAAATTATGGTATCTGTTTATATTTCTTTTTATAATTTAAATGGAAATCTAACTAACATCCGGAATTTAAGGAGAAGTTTCACTTCTTATTTGGTAACTGATATCTCTGCATGTACACAATTAAATGCAATACTTTTTTCTATGGAGCCATTAGATGACAGAACCATCTATACTTATTCACAAATAGTATTTTGACACGTATCCTATAATAAATAAACTTTGGACATGTGTCAATATATTAAGTGATTGATGACTCCATTAGAAAATCATCTGATAGCTCCATAGAATTTCTGCAATTAAATGACATCTAATCGGTAAAGATGCAATAAATTGTAGTTACATTTATTTTAAGATCATACGTAAACATAAAATTTAGCCATCATTGAGAAGTGCAATATTTATAGGCAAAGAATGGGATAAGAAATGTAAATTATTGATATATATTAAGAAGTGTGATATAGATAAAATTTGAATTTATATGTATTGAAAAGTGTGATATAGATAAAAAATAAATAAAATATAAAAAACAAAAAGAAAAAAGAGTTAATAAATAATTATTTTAAAACACAAAAAAGAAAGAAAAAAATAAGCGCATGCTATAATAAAATATGATTTTAAAACACAAAAAAGAAAAGAAAAGAAAAAGGTGCTGCGTTCAAAGAATTGAACGGAGAGGAGGGCCCCATTTTTAACGGAGGAGCCGCATCCGTATTAAAGAGCGGGGGTGAAGTGGGGGGTTTAAACCAGAGGAAAATAAACAGCGGGTGCTCTTATTTGCCAGTTCAAAAGAGTTTAAAATTTCAACAAAGGTTAAAGTTGGTGAAGACTGTAGAGGACTGAAGACACTCTTAGTCAAAGTCAAACAACTCACATAAATAATGACGGTCTCTTGAAAATGGAGTAAGTAATTCTCAAAAGTCTACACGCTAATTAAAATCTATAGTCTATTGTTCTTATTACTAATTTTCACATTTTTGTTTATTAAAATTCCTATTTTTATTTTTGCATTTTACATTTCTAATAACTGGCCATTAGTAATGGTTAATTGTCACTTTATTGACTAGTTGGACTTCAATTCTATTCCAATTTCCAATCTGTCAAAAGTGACAGATTTCTTGTGACGAAAAAAGAATCGTCACCGTATGTAACCTTATGGTGACGAATTTTAAAAATCGTCATTAAATCATTGCATACGGCAGTTGCTACATGCTTCATCTTAGAATTAATTTTTCGTCACATAAACGTACTTTTCATGACAATACATTTCAATTCGTCACCGAAACATGTAAATTCGTCACATTTATATAAAACTGTTCTCTGTGACGAATGACTTCTCGTCACAGTTTGTCAGGCAACATTGACAAAGTATATTTTCGTCACCATTAAATACAATTTTATGACGTTTATTTTCATCACTAAATCACATTTTTAGTGACGAATTTTATTATGACGGATAATATTTAATCACAATTTGTAAGCTAATATGACAAAATATATTGTTTGTCGCAAATGAATATCTTTTTTATGACATCACTTATTTTTGTCGGTATATTACATATTTTATGACGATTCTATCTGTGACAAATTATATATGTCACAATTGTGTTAGTAACAATGACAAATTTAAATTTCGCCACCAAAGATTATTATTTTATGACATTACTTAATTTCGTCACTGAATTCAAATAATTTATGACGCTTTTCTTACGATAAATGGTATTTTGTCATAAAATTTGTTATGAAAAAATGATGAATTTTATTTTTGTCACCATAGAATATTCTATGCATGACACCGTTTACTTTCGTCCTTAAAACCACATAATATGTCCTGGTATTTTTGTCATAAAATTTGTTATGAAAAAATGATGAATTTTATTTTTGTCACCATAAGATATTCTATGCATGACACCGTTTACTTTCGTCCTTAAAACCACATAATATGTCCGGTCAAGTTGCTCTTCTGGCGAGTTCGAGTAGGCGTGTGTGTGAGCTGTCGGCCTGAAGTCGGGGCCTTGGCTTCCTATTCTCTCACTAGTGGAGGTGGTCAATGGCGTCCGTGAGTGGTCGTGCTGCTGAAGTCGGCAGAGGTGGTA